GTATGTGTGTGTGTGTGTGTGTGTGTGTGTGTACGTGTGTCCCTCACCTCCTGACTGAAGGCTTTTTGGAATGCTAGCCTCCTCTTCGCCGTCTCCGTCACTCCGGCCCCCGTGCCGTTCATCGTAACAGCGGATGACGCCACAGTGGATGACGCCACAGCGGATGACGTCACTTGAATTAGATGTCACGTGTTCGGACAGAGCCAATGGCCGGGCAGTCTCCTGTTGACACATTTCAAAGAGGGTTATAAAATATTAAGTATTCTAAAGCCCTTGACACAGACAGAGCTGAGCGTAGGCGTAACAAAAGTACAGCATTCTTTAGATACGTGATGTTGTAAATACACTGAATAAATTAATGTAGGTGTTGGGTTGTGTTTTTACGATCCCCATCGACACAATTTAGGTCATTTAAGACGCGGACTTCGACCCCGCTGTAAGAGCAATCCGGGCTGAGAGAGATATGGTATTCCAGCAGAAAGACCGTAATAACTGTAGAGGATAGAAATTCTCCCCCACTCCGGAATCGAACTCGGGTCTCCTGTGTGCGACGCGTCAGGAACGTGATGTAGGAACGAGCGGCGGTAGTCAAACTAATACAGACATTGATGTACAGAAAAGTGGGAAGACGTGGAATAACACCAAGAGGCTAGCCCAGGATGATGATGATGATGATGATGACGATGATGATACGACAGAAGGCCCGTCAGTGTGGCCTTCGCTGACGGCTTTTTATACGGTATTTTAAACTTCTTTTTAAAAATAAATTAGCAAGGGTTTTACGGCCCTTGCCAGACAGTATGGTCGAAGATTAGAAGTGTTATAAGAGAGTAATAAACACACAAAAATAAAGAGGAAAGATAAGGACGATAGGAAAGAAGGAGCAAGCAAACCACACTTGCGGGTGGTTGGCGGGTGCTCTGGTGAGGTCTGCTTCTTCTTTCCTATCAAACATCTATAGTCCTTTTTTTCTCCCCTTCTTCTTTTTTATGTTTGTTACTCTCTTGTAACACCTCTAATCTTCGGGCGCTCATATGACCTTATGCAGTTGCGAGTGCCGTAAAACCTCTACTAAAACTAACTAAAAAACCACCCACTTTTAAACTTCAGGTCGGCCGCTCACTAATGAGAACAATAAGACCTCGATAAATGCGGTTTCGAGGACACTTGACTCGACCTAAGGGCTTTGAACAGCTTGCTCTCGCTTGAAAGACAGAGAAAAAACGAAGCAGTGGCAGACCCAGAGAAACTGATTTGGAAAACCGGAACAGATGTGTGACGTAGAAACATCAGGATAATGTAGGGATGTTGGAGAGCATCTGAGCGGAGAAAGGAACGGAAAACCATGATCGCTGATGCCTGTTTCAGTTCTTCCCCCTTACGACGATGATGATTTTTTTTACCCAATACACACCGACGTCTATGGTGTGACAGTTAGCCACTTTGTTGTCGCACACAGGAGACCCAAGTTCGATTCCCGAGTTGGGAGAAATGCATTTTTATCGAGTATTTCGGTGCTTCTGTTGGGATAATGTATCCTCCGCAACCCGGTTTGGCCCTGGTAGACAGGATTGGAAGCCCGACTCCTAAATGAACTAAATTGTGTCAATGGGGACGTAAAAATACCTACCTATAAAAAAAATCAATACACCAGTTGTAATTAGATTACATACTTTGATGGTGACTGGCCTTAACTGTTCCAATGTTCGAAATTGGCCAGGCAGTGAAACATGTTGCTCACCCGTGGGCGGTCGGGTCATAAATCACAGGCCTTCACTGCCCCAGCTTTACTGCATGAGCTTGTTTAAAAGAACGGGGTAGTAATAGAAACTCAGTCGCCTGTGATTTTATTTGAATAAGTGTTTCACGGCACTTGCAAAACAACCAGGTCATATAAGTGCTGCAGACAAGGGGAGTCACTAAAAAGTAACAAACACAAAAAAGGAGGAGGGATAGAGATGATAGAATGTGTTTGACAGGTTGGGTGGACATGATATAGTGGAAAGGGGAGTGGAGTGAGAGAAAACTGTAGATGTTGATAGACAGTGTATGTGTGTTTGTTTGTTCGTTCGTTCGATTGTTTGTTTGTGTGTGTGTGTGTGTGTGT